CTACATTTAGAAGCTCTTCTTCATCCCACCTCGTGGGGGCAAATCTCTCAGGCCTGTGTCCTTCCCCCAGGGTAGCTTCTCTCCTAGGAGACCCCCTGCAAACAAACATCAGGTGGGCTGGGCGTGGTGCTGCATGCCTGTAATCCCAAAATAAGAGAATCCCAAGTTCAAGACCAGCCTCGGCAACTTAGTGAGGTCTTGTCTCAAAATAAAAAGGGGCTGAGGATATAGCTCAGTGTTAAAGCGCCCCTGGTTCAATCCCTAGAAACAAATATCAGGTAAGATACCACAGCTCTTTCCTCCACATACCCAGCCACGCTTGACTCCCAGAAGGTGGGGCTTAGGTGCAAGTAGATCTCCCTGCTGCAAATGATAACCAGGCAGAATTCCATCTGGTTCAAAGAGGGGCTTTAAAGACAGAGTAGCATTGAGTCTGGATTTTCAAACTGTCAATCAGTTGAGGGAACACAGGTGAGATCTCCTGGGACTGAGGATTCTTTTTAGAGTATGATACATAGTGCTACTAAAGCTACATGAGACTCTCCTACTTGCAGAACAGACAAGCGAATTATTCATTATTAAAACTTGTGATTTGTTTGCTAACCTTAAAGGGAAATGTTCCCGATAACAGCAACAAAGGATATTAAACGTGTACAGATAATAAAGGTGAACTGAATTTCACTTGCTCCTAATTACCATGGGCAGAGTAAAGCTATCTTATTAAGAAAACACAAGATTATATCCCAGCTAATGAAAATGCTTTATACTAAGACAACTTAGAAATACAAGCTAAAAACGTGCATGGTCAGTCTGCAAAATGGAAATGAACACTTATACGATGAAGAAATTATTAAAGATGACATAACAGGAAGCTCATCCTTGAAGAACCATTGGTTTTAGATCCCTCTAAAAGGAATGTTCCTGCATAGGGTTCTATTCTAGTGCCAGATAGAAGCAATGTGACAGCAATTATACTTATTGAGGGCTTATCATGAGCTGGGTGTTGTTTTATGTCTTCTACATACTCCTACCGCACGGAAGGGCCATTCTATTGTCTGTCCAAGTTTATAGGTAATAAACTTGAGGCATAAAGAAGGCAGGTAACTTGCCAAAGTCACCCAGCCAGGATGTGGCTCCAAGACCTGTGCTCTTCCTTATATCAAGCATAGCACCCCACATTTGGAGGTACTTTCTATGGGCTGCAAGTGAATTATCTGAATCAACATGGATTTATTTTGCAAGGTGTGGTGTCATTTAATGACCCCCCCCCCACCCACCAGCTCCCAGGAAACCTGCCCCTCAGACCCGTATAGGGAAAATACTGTCATTCTGTCCTGACCTCAGGCTGAGATGAATGACCTTCAAGTAACCAGAGCCAAAGGAACTTGTGGGACCCTTGCGTACAACAGACAGGAGCTAGAATGTCCCCTCTGTCCCCAGCTCCTCTCTGAAGGTACCAGAGGAGGGTAAGTGATAATTTTCTGCCATTTCTAAACCTCCCCTCTCCATCTAATCCATGGATAAGCAAATACCAAAATCCCCTCGGACTCTGCACCTTGTCCAGGCCCTCCGACACCTCTGAGATCTGTGGCTTGAACCATTGTTCTTTAACTGCTTGGGATCTGTTACAGAAACACTCTTCCTCTTTCAGTTGGTTCAGAAATCAGGGTTTCCCTGAGCCACTGTGGCCTAGACTTTCATCTCTGTACCCAGGGCTGAAATTCCCCAGGGACTTCTGCTGGCATTGGTCATCCTAAAGGGGCCGGAACCAAGAATGCAGATCTTCTTTGTGTCTACAGGCCTCACTCCTGCTGGGCATGTTTCTCTGAAAACAGAATCTTCCTTCTTTAAAATCTTCCTTCTGTGTCCTGCAATGAAGAAGCAGTTTCTGAACTGAGAAGCCAGTGGCTCAAGGGCTCCACCGTGAGGAAGCCAAGAAAAACTCATCTTCAGGAGCAGGTGCCACCGGTGGGGTGCCCAAGGGGGGAGATGGGGACCAGACAGCAGTGGGGCACCCAGGTCATGACCCTGGCCTGTCTGGAAAGGGAAAGACTTGACACAGTGTCTCCTTCTGCCCACATCTTTGCTTTCCTTGACCCAGGGAAGGCAGGAGGCCACACCAGCCTCCCCTGGCTGGCTTTCTTCTGCCTCCATGCCAGGCACATTGGGGACAGATGACTCTGAACTCGTTTGTTGCAGCTGGAAAGTTGCTGAAACTGTTCTTCCCTTTCTGAGAATTAGATTGAATTGGCTTCACTAAATTCTCCCATCAACCCTGCCCACCAAATCCCCACCCAGACTGCAAGGCCAGCATTGACTGCCAGCTGCTAGCAGGATGCCACGGTCCCTCTGCTGGCTTCTCCTCCTGGAATCTGACCCCTCCTGCAGCCTGACCCCTCCTGTAGCTGCCTGCTCTCCCTGCCCCCTCCCCAAACTGCTGCCCATCAGTGGCACCAACATCTTGACTAGAGGATTCTGAGCAAAGTTTTTTATGAGCTTTGACATCAACTGGAACGGACACAGAATGCTAACTCTATCTGTACCACTTTAGGAGTAGACATTCTCTGAAACTCACCTTGAAAATGAGGGCAAAATTTTATTGACTTTATTGTGTGTCTGCCCTGCTACAAGGTTGACAGTATGTCTTGTCTTTTTCATGATTTTATCTCTAGCACCGCGATGGTACCTGGCATGTAAGAGACCTCTATAAAATTTAAAGGGAAAAAATATCTTCCCAATAGAATTGTTAGGAGAGTAAATGAAATGACATATATAAAGCACATAGGTCACACGTGGCCTGTAAATAATGGTTTCTAGCTACTCAGTTATTTTGATAAGATAACAGGTTTCATGATGCAAAATAATTCTGTCACCCATCCAATCATTGAATACTTATTGAGCATCTGCTACATGTTGCACAGGACAACACAAGTATATTTTGCTATTTTTTCGCAGTACTGGAGATCAAACCTAGGACCTTATGCATGCCAGGCCAGTGTTCTAGCAATGAGCCATGTCCCCAGCTCAGGGTGAAGAACACGGTCCCTACCTTAAAGTGGCTCAACCACAACTTCAGGACATAGTGTGCCAAGATGGCCATAAGTATAGAGAGCCATGAGCATACATAGACTAGGCAGTGAAGAAGGCAGGAGCAGTGGAAAAGAACATTCTATATGACACTCTTGTGCCCATTGATAAGGATGAGTCTCTGGAGATGAGAAGATCACACAAGGGAGACATGCTTGGAATAGCTTTTTTTTTTTTTTTTTTAACTAGTCTATTTGTTCAGAGAGGAAAAGGCTGATTATAGCTGGCTGTTGCCTTCAGCTGGCCAGACTCTGTTTCAAAAGAACTGTGTGAAGGGCTATGGGAGCCTTGAGATTTTAGGTTCCAAACCAAGAGACCAAAACCAACAGATGGCAGGAATGAGAGGCAGGCGCTGCCTTACCGTCTGGAACTTACACAAATTGTAGTAAGCATATCTTTGTTGGCCACCACTTTATTACCCTGGGTTCTGGGCAGGACTTCTCAGGAAACTCTTCCAAACTCCTTAGGCAGCTCTGAACATTCTAGACAGGCGATCACATAGTGTGGCCCACGGTTAACACTTACCACATGCAATCACTGTCAGCATATGCCATTCTGAGTTCTATCTGTACTACTGCTGTTCCTAATATTTTAAATTACTTTTTTATTTAAAGAAATGTTTTCAGAGGATATCTATTTCCCTTGCAATATGGATGTCTTTACACATTTTTGCCACTCTGGTCAGGCTCCAGCAGACAGCGCCCCTCCACTCCTTCTACAGAGTGAAGCTCAGACAATTGCCAGCGTGCTGAGGGGCAGGACCTCAAGACATGCAGATGAAACTAAACTGGCACCTGCAATGGAGTGTGTTACAGGCTGTGCAGGTCAAGGGGATCATATCTCTCGAAGATCTTCTTGAGTACCACCAGAAGTAGGAATAGAAATTTGGGTTAGTCGGTGAACAGATGATGGGATTTAGAGCCTTGACACCTTGATTGGAGAGCTGCTGCTAACATCTGCTAGCTCTGGGGCCTTGGACAAGAAAATGAACTTCTCTGAGCCTCAAGTCTTATGACAGCAATTCCTCATAAAATAAGTGAACCAACAAAACAATTGGCATGACAGGACTGCAGAAGCACTTTGTAAACTCTTCAATTTTCACAAATACCAATTTTATTGAGAATTAAATTTTCAAGACACATGAAGTTGGACTTTATCATTGATGAGGGGCTATCATGATCATGGTCAATATCTTGACCAGTGCTCAATTAAGTAAGCAAATGAAGGATGCCTCTTGCCCCTTTTTCCTGTGTATAAACAACCTGGATAAATGAACAGAAGGCAGGTGTGGTTGTGAGAGCTGGCACAGGATGCAGAAAACCCAGATGCACGATGAGGGCTATCCTGCCATAAACATGTCCTCTAGAAAGGTCGTGGAAAACCTAGACAGCTGGATGGTGGTTCTTTGCCCCTCCTGCCACACCTCAACTCAGCAGGTTTTAAAAGGCCAGTACTCTCCCAACTACCACCACCTCAGCATCGTCCCCACAGTGTTCCATATTGGCCTCATTCTTGACCCACCCCCTCATGTCTTCTGCCACCCAAAGCCTTGCCCTGTGCCTTTGGTGACCCCCTGCTCCAAAATCAGTCCACTCTGCCCCTCTACTGCCTCTGTTATTGGAAAGTACTTTGCTCTGGGAACTTTTTTTTCCCACGCAGTCCTCCTAAGAGATTTTTTTATTTTCTCATATGTCAATGGACTCCCAGGTCTATGAGGGAAAGTAGGGCTGGATTCTCAGTGGTCACACTGCCACCTCTGGACCATGAGTACCCCATTCTTTTGTAACAAATACATTTGAGAATCACAACTCATCTCTATTCCCCTCTCCTTCTCCTGACAATACCCCTCATTCAGTGAAGACCTAAATATCTAGCTGCAGAAACATTCTTATTCAAAAAGGACATACACATAATGATGTAGCAATGATAGTTTATTTTAACATACTAAACCAAAAATTAACAATTTCTTTCTTTGAAAAAAATATGAATTCTGTACATGTGGGGTTGGTTTAAGTGACCATAATGTATTTTACCAAAAAACAAATTGTTATAGCCCATCTTATAAAGATTTCTATACAGAGAGTAGATGCTAAATAATTTTGCTGAATGATTTTTTAAAAATCTACATATAGTTGTAAAATAGTTAAGTTCATAAATTAAGAATACTGTGAATTTACTTAACTGTACAAAAGAATCATTCTCTGATCTTCCACTTTTACATATATTTTCTTTTACAGAATTCAATGATTAAATCCTCTCTCCTAAGGTCCTAAGAATATTCTTCAAACCTTCAGCAGTTTACAAATGAGCAGACCACTTAAAGGGAAATGGTGAAAAAAGGATTTCATTTCTATGCTACTCATTCAGAATCTGCTGAGTTGGCCACCCATTCACTCAACCTGGTTGAAAATCTTGATACTTGAATATAGGTTTGATTTGGCTTTCATGCAGCCCATCAGCATTCATGACATTTATCTCTTACTTAAGCTGTACAAAGGAAATCTGGAAATCCTATGACAGTGATGTTATCATACTTAAATGCAATATGCAAAATTCTGAAAATTAAATAACTTATTTTTTTAAATATACATACCACAATCTTTTTTTCAGTAATCACTTTTTCCATGTACAAATGAAAAAAAAATGGCAAAAGAAACAGAATAATCTGGATATTCCAAAATAAAATGACTATAAAATTTTTATTTAATAAAACATGGTTGAGGTACACTTTTATTGTATAAGTAATTGTTAATTACTGTATATAATTGGACAGCAAAATCCAGCCCTGTCTGAAAGCACTGGGTCAAACTGTCTTTTTAAGTCCTTCCAGGCCATGATTCTTCATGCTGCAATAAAATATTTTTTAATAAGTGCAATTTATCATAGAACTATGTATGCACTTTTTTGTTCCTAAATATAAAAACTTAATTGTAACTACCACAGACATGATTTAAATATATGTGTTATGAAGAGAAACAGTATAAACATACTCAATTTTTTCTTGTGAGATATTAAAAAGGGATTTCATGTCATGATTCTGAAAAACCTAAGAACAAAAGTACTGAACATAATAAATAAATATGCAATCTAGAGGCATTAAAAATGGTCTAAAATACTGAATGTAACAAAATCCAGTGTATTAAAGTTCAGTATTTTAGTATTAAGCATTCTTCCCCAAATGCAGTTACATAAGCTTCACATTAAGGCACCTGTCATTCCCTATAAGAAAGATCTGGATTCAAATAAAGGCAAAATGCACTATAAAACTTTTATTCTTTCATTCTGATACCTTTATATATTACCATCTTTAAATAATTTTGAACAGTGTAATTTATCATAGATATATAAATATCTTTGAATATAATACTTGAATATAGTTCAAATGGTTCCCAGTGGTATTTTGAGACTCTAATTAAAGTCTGTCTATATATTAATACTGTGATACTATGTGACATATTAATTAACAAGGAAATAGGTAAAAAACAAATCAAGATGGATGGAAAAGAACCAAATTTTAAGAGATGTGACAACCTCTAAAAAAATTATACCGTAGGGACAGTGACTATGAGATCTTGATCAACTTTTTTGAGACTCACTCTCTCCATCTGTAATGTTTCAATAATAGCTCCCTATAAAGCTTAGAAAGCTTTTGTGTGATCAAATGAGATGATGTAAAAATAAAAACACTTGGCAAACTGGGAACAAATAGAATTATGATAATCAGAACATCTCAAGTTTGATATTCTAATAATAAAAGTTATGACCTTCATTCATCACTTGAGAACTCCAGTTTTGATCAATTAGTTGATGAACAGAAGCAAAAATTTATACAGAGAGAAAATCTCTCAATTTTAGCTTCCAGAATTTTATAAAGTACACTTGGCTGTGAATAGGAAGCTACCTCTTGACACTTCCTAAAACTGAAGAAGGGGCAGATTGCCCAGACACCTTGGCTCTTGGTCTTTACTCTGTTTCCATTAAAGAGACTTCCATCTCCCTCACCATCTGTTATCATGCAAGATACATGGTTTCATTGAAAGACACTTTCCTTTAATAGCATGGAAAGATTTTAAGGATATTAAGAAATAGCTGGAATCAGTCTTGGATACCTTCCTCAGCTTGATACAAATATGAAAGGATTCAATAATATCTATCAAATTTTCCCTTTGTTAGTCCATTTCTTGTATGTAGAAGTGATTCTAGGCCAGCTTTTCCCAGTGTATGTTCTGAGGAACACTAGGTGAGGGGGGATATTAATAGGTGAAAAACAGATCTGTGTTGGGTATGTTTGAAATATACAAGGAGAGATTAGTGTCTGGACTGTAGACTTTCTCAGTCTTTGAAGTCTCACATATACATTCTAAAGAAAGATGGAGAGTACCACTTTTCCCAAAATCATCTGACCTCCAAATCCCTTTTACTCACACATACACATACAAAAAAAAATCTAGAGGGGCTAATAGTTCTGGGAATATTCTTTGGGAAATGCTATTCTAGCCAATTCATCCTGGTTCTAAACATTCCAGGGCTAAATCTGGCAACAGTTACCATTTTATTTCTGAAGTAGAAGAATCATTTTGCTTTCAAGGTCAACCACCATAATAACCTCCTAGATTCTACTCTATGAATATCCCTTCCAAAGCAACTAAGAACTAAATTTCCTTTCTACTGAGAAATTCAATGAAGTTATTCTCATGTAGATAATTATGTCTTTCTAAGGAAATTCTTATATTATTCCCCCAAACATTAAAAATAGGGATCTAATTATTTCTAGATCTTAGGACCCAGAATCATAACTATTTGAAAGAGAGGACATTTTATCATAATATCACTCCAATTAACCCTACCAATAATAATGATAGTGGTGGTAGTATTAACTAAGCACTTGATCCTCATATTACTCTATGAGTTTAGGATCTATTATTATACCTATTTTAAAGATAAGTACTCTGAGGTTTACAGAGATTAACTGATCTGCCAAGAGTCACACAAAGGAGTAAGGGCAGAACCTCAAACCCATATCTGACCCTTCACCCCAAACTCTTAACCACTAAATAATGCCATCATATACTCTAGTAACAATAACAAAAAAGCAATTCCTATTACAGGAAAATTAGAGTGTATTTATATAAATTCAATGTAATTAAAATTTGGTTTTAGATTTCCTTTTGATCAAATTCCCATTTCTTTAAAGTAAATATGTTAAGTTTTTTTTTAAGTAGAGAAAAATAGACTATTATTTACCAATGAAGGCTACAGGGTCTTTAAATAGAAGAAGGTTTTAAAAATCTGCATCCAAAGTGAAGACATTATCTGTGGTTTCTGCCATAACGGCAAAACGCTGATACTCTGAAACTCGTTTCTCAAAGAAATTTGTTTTCCCTTCTAAAGAAATGTTTTCCATAAAATCAAAGGGATTTTCTGCCTGAAAAATCTGAAAAGAAAAGACACATTATTAGATATTCTGAAGAAGCCAAATAAATGATATCCTACAACAATGGCAAAAATGACAATCAATCAATCAATTTTATTTTATTTTTCTCTCTGGAGATTCTTTTTTTTTTCTTTTGGTGCTGGTTCAAACCCAGGGTCTCATGCATGCTGAGTACCTGCTCTACCACTAGCTACAACCCTAGCACATGCCAGTATTTCCTTTTTTTTTTTTTTCAGTTTGAGTATATTTTATTTATTTATTTATTTATTTTTAATGTATTGGTTCTTTTTAGTTATACATGAATAACAAATAGAATCCATTTGAGCTTAGATTTCCCAACACCTTTCTAGTCACCTACATGGTCATATTGTTCTCCTAAGGTCCTGGAGGCACTGAAATATGACCTAGTCAACAATCAAGCTTGACAAATTTTCATATGAGTGACGTCACCTACTAACCTCCTCCAAGAATACCTTTGGTATTCTAATAAACAGGAAATATTTCAGGAAATGAAATATCTAATACTAACAACCCAAGGGAATGTTCTCATGGCTTGCAAGATTCAATACACCATAGAAACTAGAGGCATTTTTTCATAGGAATTACTATCAGGTAGTCATCTATACACAATATACAAAATATTAAATTATCAACAATGTCCTGAGCTCTTAAGTATGCTTCTTAGTTCATAACAGAATACATAAGGTCAAATTGACCTTAACAGGTCATAATCAGGAAAGATAAAATTAACTCTATCCAGAGTGACTAGATATCTGCAAACAAAGTCCATTTCCTGTATGTAGAAATGATTCTAGGCCAGCTTTTCCCAATGTATGTTCTGAGGAACACTAGGTGAGGGGGGATACACGCTGGACACATGCTGACAAGAAGTTTTTTCACTACTGAATTAAAGAAGAAGGGCTGGAAATACAGCTCATTGGAAACATTTCAGTGATTCACAAGGTACAATAAAAAAGGATTTCCGAGTTTAGGAGTATGCAAGCAGGAATTACAAACATCACAGATGAGAATAGATTCAAATAATCCAATTTTTTAAATGGGTAAAGGATCTGAATAGACACATAGACATTTCTTCAGAGAAAATATACAAAAGGCCAATAAACACATGAAAAAATATTCAACATCACTATCCATTAGGGAAATGCAAATCAAGACCCCAATGCTCGAATAAGAGAGATAACAACTGTGGGTGAGGAGGTGGAGAAATGGAAACCCTCATATACTAGTGGGGATGTAAAATTGTGCAACCACTTTGGGAAACAAGCAGTTCTTCTTATGATTAAACATGGAGTTACTGTATGATACAGCATTCTCAGCCCTAGGTATATATTCAAGAGAAATGAAAACATATGTCACAGCAGCATTATTCATGATAGCAAAAAGTAGAAGTAACTCAACTGTTTGTCAACTGATGAATGAACAAATAAAAATTCCATATAGTCATATAATAGAATACCATTTGGTCATAAGGAGTAAATAAGAATTGATGCATGCTACATTGTGAATGAATCTACTAAGGAAAGAAAAGAGTTACAAAAGTCATGCATTTAACAATTCTATTTATATGAAATGGAATACACAGAAGAGTCAAATTTATAGACAGAAATTAGATTAGAGATTGCCTAGGAGTGGAAGGGATGAGGGGAAAGAAGGGTGGCTGACTGTTAATAGGGTAAACTTTCTTTCTGATATTATAAACATGTTACCATGTTCTAAAATAGATTGTTGTGAAGATTGTGCAACTGTGAACATACTAAAAACCACTTAATTACCAGGTGGGATAATGCACACTTGTAATCCCAGCAACTCAGAAGGCTGAGGCAGTAAGAAGGCAAGTTCAAGCCAGTCTCAGCAACTTAGTGAGGCCTTCGACAACTTAGAGAGACCCTGTCTCAAAAAATAAAAAGGGCTGGCAATGTAGCTCAGTGGTAAAGCACCCTTGGTTTCAATCCCAGGGCTAAAAATAAAAATAATAAAACAACTATACATTTTAAATGGGTGAACTGCATGTTATATGATTTATATATATATAATAAATCTGTAAACATAAGTGCACATATGTATGTATATGTATGTGTGTGGGTATATAAAGATATATAGATAAATAGAGTACTCATATGCTGTGTGTGGCTGATAACTGAATCCTGTGAAACTGCCTCTCAGAGAGAGTGAAGCTGCAAGACACAGCAGAAAAGACAGTGTACCAATAATAGATTCACTGGATTTTAGAAATGGGGAACTTCAGTAAATTAGATCTGAATCATTTATGGCATGGACAAGGTAATCAAGCTAAATTAAGCAGCTTTTTTTTAACACATAGAAAATTTTTAATGTTTTTTGACTAATCTGTAGCTAAGAGAAGTTGATAACATCAATAATGTGACTTCTATTTAAGAAACTGTTAAAATGGCTGGGGATGGGGCTCTGTGGAGGGTGCATGCTTAGCATGCCCAAGGCCCTAGTATTCAATTCCCAGCACCACAAAAAATAATAATCATAAAAAGAATCCATTAAATGATGATCATTTACTAATAATCTTCTCAAAAACTGTCAGTATAGAATAATTGTTTTCAAGCTCCTTGGGTTCAAAATTTAGTTCATGTGCTTGAGATTGTTTTCTTAATATTCACATGAACTTTCTGAAAACCTCTCTGGTTGCATTCTACAAGCTTTGAAATATAGTAATCTTACTGTTATATTTTCAAAGTTTATTTTATTTTTTATTTTTTGGTACTGAAGATTGAACCCAGGGGTGCTTAACCACAGAGCCACATCCCTGGCCCTTTTTTAATGTTTTTGAGACAGGGTCTGGCTGAGTTGCTAAGTGCCTCCATAAGTTGCTGAGACTGGCCTTTTTTAAAATTTTTTTAATTTATTTGTTCCAATCAGTTATACATCACAGCAGAATGCTCCTTGATTCATTGTACACAAATGAAGTACAATTTTTCACTTCTCTGGTTGTACCCAAAATATCTTATATCTTATACAAAATATAAGAGGTTTGTGCAATTTCTGATTTTTCATTCATGCAATCATACATGTACCTAGCGTAATAAAGTCTGTCTCATTCCACCATCTTTCCTACCTCCATCCTCCCTCCCTCCCTCCCTTTGCCCCATCCAAAGTTCCTCCACTCATCTCATGCCCCACCCCCATTATGATAAGCATCCAGTTATCAGAGAAAACATTTGGCCTTTGGTGTTTTGGGATTGGCTTACTTCGCTTAGCATGATTTTCTCTAACTCCATCCATTTATCTGCAAATTCCATGATTTTATTCTCTTTTACATGTATATATACCACAGTTTCTTTATCATCTATTGAAGGGCATCTAGGGTGGTTTCACAAAGGCTATTGTGAATTGTGCTGCTATTGATGAGGCTGTGTCCCTGTTTTTAAGTCCTTTGGGTATATGGTGAGGAGTGAGATAGCTGGGTCAAATGGTGGTTCCATTTCAAGTTTTTTAAGGAATCTCCATATTACTTTCCAGATTAAAAACTATTTTGAATGGTTATACAAAATGAAAAATTTACTTTTGTCTTTTCACTTTTCTTTTCATCTCCCCTGCCTGACAGGTTTGCAACAGTTTCAGAATCTGACCTTGTACAACCTTTAAAATAAAATTCTAAAGTCAAAACAAAACAAAACTATTTTGAAAATCTATACTCCAGTAAAACAGAAAATCCTGAGGCTAGCTTTGAACTCACGACCCTCCTGCCTTGGCCTCCCAAGCCACTGGGATTACAGGTGTGTACTACCGCGCCTGGCTCAAAATTTATTTTTTAATTTTTAATTTCTCTCTCTCTCTCCCCGCCTCCCCCTCCCCCTCCCTCTCACTCCCCTTCCTCATTTTGGTACTAAGCACACTACCACTGACCTACACCCCTAGCCCCTTTATTCTCCTTTTGATGAATACTTTTTTCCATTTCTAAGTAGATGGAGCTCTTTGGCAACCTTTTATTGTTAACCTTTTGTATGTTTTTTGCCTTCAAAAATATAAGAGGTTTGTGCAATTTCTGATTTTGGGAATTTATTCAGATATTTTGAAGACCCAGGAGAAGATTTATACCAAGTTTAGATTTTCTTTTGTAAGAATGTTTTATATAACTACAATTATCAAGTTCCCAAAAGAAAAACTGAACCCAAGGGTCAGCAGTTTTCCCAATAAGCAAGAGATCATGGATATGAGGATATGGTAGAGGTTAAAGAACAATGAATTCATTTTAAGGTTTACATAAGCAAATTAATTTTCCTAAAACCAAACATATCAGTAAAAGTTACTAACAAATAGAGAGTGTCTTGCAACTAAAACAATAAAATAAAATGGTTTGTCTCTTCATATATATATTTTTTTCATTTTTTAAATTTTTGGTACCAGGGATTCAACCCAGGGGCACTTACCACTGAGCCACATCCCCAGCCCTTTTTATTTTTTGAGATAGGATCTCGCCAAGTTGCTTAGTGCCTCCCTAAGTTGCTGAGGCTGGCTTTGAACTTGCAATTCTTCGGGCTCAGCCTCACAAGTTGCTGGCATGGTTTATCTTAAAAAAAATTTTGCCACCACTTGACTATTTCAATAAGTACTTCTGCGGTTACCATAATAGAAATGCACTACCAAAAGAAGTAATGACTGCACCAAACATTGTGGATTTTATAAGTTTTATCATTAAATATAATTTAAACTTACAATTCCAAACTAAAAAATTAAAACTTACAATTTCTACTTACCATGTAAGAACATAGATACAGAACATAGTTAAGTAAGGCCCCTAAAACATGTTTTACAAAAGCATTTTCTATGACCATTTCACTTACATTGAGTACAAAATGACCATTTACTGTGCATTATTGTGTCTGAGATTATTTTAAGTGTTTTAGGTATCATCAACAATTATTTGTGGCATTATTATTTTTTTTATTTCCACTTTATGGATGAAGAAACTGAGATAGAGGTTAAGCAACTTGCCAAAGGTCACAAAGCTAGAAAGCAGTGGAACCAGGATTCAAACCTAGGTAGTCTGATTGCAGGCTCCATCTCCTGTGAGTAAGGTGAAAACCAAATATCTTTTAAAAATTCAGGTACATTATCTCTGATATACAAAATAAGAGAAAAAAACTTATACACAACTAATTTCAAAGAGTCAAATCAGGAATGGGAGCATAGCTCAGTGGTAGAATACTTGCCTAGCATGTGCAAGACACTGGGTTTAATCCCCAGCACCACAAAAAAAAAAAAAAAGTTTAAAAAAAAAAGTCAAATGATGACATTTAATGTCTTCCTAGAAACTATCCCCTATTTAAAAGTATTAACCTCTAACTTGCCAAGTAAACACGTAAGAATTTAAAAAAGGGTAAATTTAAATGTAGATCAAATAAAATTACCTGAACATAATTCTATTAAATTCTACCTGCAATATTACAAGGTAATGTATTGAACTTATTAGTGCTAATATTTACCAGCTTCCTATTTCTATTTTGAATTTCATTTTAAATTTCAAAGTTTTTTATAAAACCAATTTGTTCATACAAAATACATTTCTGCCAGTCAAAAATGGCAGCTACTAAGAATATAAACAACAATAAGTGTTGACAAGGATGTGGGGGAAAAGGCACACTCATACGTTGCTGTTGGGACTGCAAATTGGTGCAGCCGATACAGAAAGCAGTATGGAGATTCCTTGGAAAACTGGGAATGGAACCACCATTTGACCCAGCTATCCCTCTCCTCGGTGTATACCCAAAGGACTTAAAAACAGCATATTACAGGGATATAGCCACATCAATGTTTATAGCAGCACAATTCACAATAGCTATGATTGCAGAATCAACCTAGATGCCCTTCAGTAGATGAATGGATTAAAAAATGTGGTATATATATATACACAATGGAATATTACTCAGCAATAAAAAAGAATAAAATCATAGCATTTGCAGGTAAATGGATGGAGTTGGAGAAGATAATGCCAAGTGAAGTTAGCCAATCCCAAAAAAACAAATGCCGAATGTTTTCTCTGATATAAGGAGACAAATTCATAGTGCGGTTGGGAGGGGGAGCATTGGAGGAACAGACGAACTCTAGATAGGGCAAAGGGGTGGGAGGGGAAAAGGAGGGGGCATGGGGTTAGAAATGATGGTGGAAGGGGATGAACATCATTATCCAAAGAACATGTATGAAGACACGAATGGTGTGAATATACTTTGTACACAACCAAAGATATGAAAAATTGTGTTCTATATATGTAATATGAATTGTAATATATTCTGCTGTCATATATAACAAATTATAATTTAAAAAATTAAAAAATTACATCTCTGTCATGAACATTTTAAAAGTAGAATTATATATTATAAATGCTTTTGTAAAACATTTTAGGGGCTTTACTTAACTGTAACATTTTACCTGGTAGTAAAAGGGTGGTTTTGAACACCTTACCTTTGAGAATCCCAGTTCCACAAGTAATCTGTCAGCTACAAACTCAATATACTGTTTCATCAAAACACAGTTCATCCCAATGAGGCCAACTGGCAAGGCTTCTGTTAAAAACTCCTGGAAGGTAAACAAAACCAGAATAAAGTACAAAGACAGAACAATAAGGTATTTTCCAAATAGAGAGAAGGTTTTGGTTTTATTAATATTCTAAGACAACGATTTTGCTCAAGGAAAGTGTACTAGGATAAATTCTTTCAACATGGAAAATGATCACCACTGTTGCTTTGTTCTGAAATACCTAGAAAAAGATTCACCAAAGATGATCATCATGGGAAGCATGACTATGAAAGAGAGGTGGAAAGACAGAAAACTCAGTTAACAAAGAATATGAGATAAAACAGAAATGGATTAAGGGGTTGGGAGATAAACTGAACTCTACATTCAAAGACAATGTTAATAGATAAAAAACAAAAACATATTAACCACATGCTTTCCTCCTTCCAATATGAAAACCATGCTTGTTAAACTATGCGATGTTTTTAAAGCTAAGCAAATTTTATTTTTAAACTAATTTTTTCTTTCTTTTTGATTTTCATCTATTTATTTATTTATTGTGTGTGTGGCAGGGTGTACTGGGGATGTGTGTGGTCCTGGGGATTAAATCCTGGCCATCGTACATTCTAGGCAAGCACTCTATTGCTCAGCATCCTGATAAATTAATTCTTTAGAATAAATAAAAACACATTTTAAGTAGAACATCCAGCTTTTTGTAATCAGAAATCTTTACATACCATAAGTTAAGTTTTACTATTCAATAATTCATTTACTTATTGATCTTATAAACTGTACGTGCTTCATGTCAGGTGCCCTGTGAAGTTATTGAGAATAAAAACAAGAAACCACAATTGTCGGGCACAGTGGTGCACACCTGTAATCCCAGAGAGTCAGAAGGCTGAGGCAGGAGAAACAAGACTAGCCCGGGCAACGTAAGTACGACCCTGTCTCAAAATTTTAAATTTTAAAAACAGCTGGTGGTGTAGCTCAGTGGTAGATGATCCCTGGGTTCAACACCCACTACCACACACACATACACACACACACATACACACACACAAATAGAAAACATCATTATCATCCAGTAGTCATTAAATTTAAAAACATAAAGCTATAACAATTAAAATAGTTTGTTATACCATGAAATTTGACAGATAAATCAATGAGACAAATAGCCCTAAAGCAGATTTTACTTATACAGAAAACCTTAAAATATAACAAACACTGATTTGTAAACCAAATTATAAACTGACATGAAAATTGCAATACATCATGAAATCATCATCTTGTAGGTAAAAACAAATATAAGCAGGTTTATATAGTCAATTTGACAGTACAAGATGATGATTTCATGAATCAAATATAATAATGCTAAAGTGGGCACAGTGGCACATGCCTGTAGTCCCAGCAATTCAGGAAGCTGAGGGAGGAGGATCAATTGAGCCCAGGAGTTCAAGGCCAGACTGGACTGTATAGCAAGACTGTCTCAAAATAAATAAATAAATAACACTAATAAAATAATGGCACAAACATCAGAAAAAGCGAGATGTGCTAAACTTTATAAATTTCCCTACTTACCTGCTCAATTTTGACAGCATTAACAATGATCTCCCTCACTCTTTCTTCTGAAGGCTTATTTACTAAGTACTGAAACATTAGGCAAGCAAAGTCACAGTGAAGTCCCTGAAATAGAAGACAAATGCCATTGTTAAAGCTTTTAATCTGCTATTTGCCCACAGTGATGCATACTGTATAAACATTGTGTAAACAAATCATATAAAATAGATTCTAAGAACACAATGTGGAAATTTATAGGGAATTAAAGAGAAATTAATAAGACCAAGAACTTCTTTCCTTCAAATCTCATTAAATGCTAATTCAATAACTTATAATAAAAAAATTCACTGCCAGAAAATCTTAGTTCACCAACATTAAAGAAGAATTAATTTACAAACAAACCAAGAAAAAATATACACAACCAAAAGCATTTTTAAAAAAGAAAACAAGATGAGAAGAGCCAAAATGAAAATTCATTAATCCCTAAATGTCAAAAAAATTAAGGGATGATTGAAAAATAATAAGTAGTATTTAAAAAATGGATGAAACTCAGAGATATTTCAAAAAGATATCTCAAGAATAGCTCAAGATAAAAATGAATTCAGTACAATGATAATGGAAACTATAAAATAATAAATATCATCTGAAGCTGTAAAAAGCAGAAGTGACATTACCATTAACTAAACCAAGAAAGAAAATAAACATACGAAATGCCCCGAGAACAAAATGATTATGCAAATACAATTAATATTATAAAATGTTCAGTAACTGGAGAACAAAGAGAGTCAACCTATAATCAGGATTCTGATATACAGAACAGATGGAGCAAAGCTGAAAATCAAAAGAACAACAAAAGAAAATTTTCACAAATTCAAAACAAAACTAAACTAAAGGGCCATACATAGAAAAATAATGGAATTCCCAGCAAAATTTACATGATAGCAAGGTAAAAATCAATTAACATTTCTAAATTACAAAAAATAATAATAATTTTGTAAGCAACCAAAGAAGGGAAAGGGGAAAAGGAACATATATTTTAAATGATTACAAGTAAGAGTTGCCTAGGTTTTTATAAATGAATCAACAAAACTCAAAGACAATTCAAAGATCCCTAAATCAAAGGTTGTTATTACAAGGATTATTTACCTGGTTAAGTTATCAATTCCCAGAAAAAAAAAACTAAAAGAAAAAAAAAACAACACACATCTCTTTTAACAACTAATCTTAGAAAATTTACTAGTGAAATGTTCTTTTTCTGCAGACTTGATTCAAGAAGAATACTTCAAATTACAAGAAAGTTTATGTCAAATAAACTACTGAAAGATGTTAAGGAAAGAGTTGACGAGAACTGACAACTAGCTACCTATTACAGAGACCAGTAAATAAAAGGTAGACACTCATAATTGTCAAATCAATAAATGAATAAAACTAATTTTGTGTTTAAAGAATTCCAATCAAAATCCCAGTGGGATAGTGGGGGTGTTGGTAAGAAAGAATGAAGGACCTTTGGATTGTGCAGAGGGAGTGAGGGTAGGGGTGGGGCTGTGGGGATCGGAAGGATGGTGGCATGAGACAACATTATTACTCCATTTACATGTATGATTACACTGGTGTTGTGACTCTGCACCATGTACAGCCAGAGGAATGAGAAGTTGTGCTCCATTTGTGTACAATATGTCAAAATGCATTCTACTGTCATGTATAACTAAGTAGAACAAATTTAAAAAAATTTTTTTAATCCCAATGGGATTTTTTTTTAATTCAAAAAATAAAAATCTAGAAGAATAAATGGTGAACACCTTAGATCCTAATAAAAAAAAAAAGAATAAATGGTTAGGTCCACACAAGAATACTTAAAAAAGGAAAGTTTTCAGATTTATTCTACCAATTATTAAAATATATAACTACAATAATTAGAATAGCTTGTATGGCATCATAAAAAACTTACTCTAAGGTAAGTCAATGAAGCAGAAAAAATGACCATGAGACAGATTTTAGTATAATAAAATCTTAATATGTAATAAAGAAGACAGCAGAAACTGGTGGAGAAAGGATGGATTACTGGAAAGAGAAGTGAAAGTGTTTAAACTAAAACTAAGTTAAATTCTAACTTGCTGGGAGCCATTAGCCAAGTAGGTATGACAATTTCCTTGCCAGCGTACCCCATGTTGCTTAGTGGAAGGACTCGTGGAAATAGGACATTTTGCAGTGACATTGCATGTAGGTGACCTTGCTCAAGGACCAGGGCGGATCCGGGTTTAGGGTGTTCCCGGTTTAGGATAATCGGGTTTAGGGCGTTCCCGGTTTAGGGCGTTCCAGGTTTAAGATTATTCCTGCTGGGAATAGGGCGTATCCTGCTGCCTGAGTTCCCCTTGAGTTCTCACGGGATTCAGACAGTATTTTTTGGGAGACAGAAGCCCAGTGGAGGTGGATTTGGGTAGAGAACGTGGATTTCCCCAGAACGTGATTGTAGACGGCTGGTGTGAGTTTGGGAATAAAGAGTTGCTGTTTGAATCTACAAGCTGTGTGGTGGCTCGTGATTGTGTGCCCAGCCAGACTGCGGCATTTGTGCCCAGCCAGACTGCGGCACTAACTTACTCTATATCATACTGCTTTTATTCTAAATTCTATACTTATACTAAACAAATTCCAATTGTATTAGAGAATTAAATGTTAAAAAAAATCAAGAAAAAAAATGTGATAATTTAGGGCTGGGTACATAGCTCAGTTGGTAGGGTGTTTGCCTTGCATGTACAAGGCCATGGGTTCAATCCCCAGCACCACAAAAACAACAACAACAACAACAAAGTGATAATTTAACTTTTCTGGGAGTAGATCAATAAAATTTAAGATTTTTATTTTTTTTGGAATACTGTACTCAGTTTAATGTAATAAAAAACCCATGACTGCTAAATTGCTACAATGAAATTTAAGATTTTTATATGCTAACAGCAAAACAAAATTTAAAAAAGGACAAACAGAAAATATAAAACAAATATAATAAAATTCACATATTCTGTTATATTCATGCAATAAATATAAGAAATGAATATACAAATTCAGTAAACAAACACTTCTTGAAAGAGTTCAATTAGTCACTGTATATTGTGAATATACCAATGAACATGCAAACATTCATCCTTCCTTTAAGGATTATAGACTATCAAATAAATAAACCTTTAAATATTAAGAGCACTCCCAGTTAAATATGAAAAATATTAATATAAAACAGAAATGGAGGCAAAAAACAAAAATATAATAACTACTGAAAAATACAAATGACTAATATAATTTTGAAAAAAGTTCAATCTAAGTAATAATCAAAAACAAAACCAAATAATGAGATGTAAACTGCTCTTATCAAATTTATCAAATACTAGGCAAATTAACCCAAATTCTGGTGAGTATATGGTAAGAAAATGATCATACATTGCTAGATGAAGCAGAAAATGTCTATAAAATTTCTGGAAAGAAATCCGCAAGTGTAAGTGATCACATAACCTGCTAATTCTACTTCTTGTGATCAAGTGTAAGAAAATAATGTAAAGTTAGGACAAAGCTTATATACAAAGTATATATAACAACAACAACAACAAAAAAAAATGAAAATCCTAAAGACAACTTAAATTTCCAATTATTGTCAAATAAATAATGCATTCATCTACTATTATATATCTAAAAAAACTGTTTTCAAAAAATACTTAATAGCATAGAAAAATGCTCATAATATTTTCCCAAGTGAAAAAAATGAAACTATGATTTGTGAAACTATTGTATCTATATGTATTTGCATAAATATAAATGTAGAAAACAAGTTTAGAAATATAATAAAATTGTCAAAGTGATCACCTGTGCGTTGTGTAACTTTTTGTTCTCTAAATTTTCTATAATAAACATATAATCATATATGACATTTATGATAAAAGTTATCAGAAATTTAAACATATTAAAGTCAAAAAGTAATTATAGAAAACATTTTATGGCACTTAAAAAATACTATCAGCTGGGTATGGTGGCACACACCCATAATCCCAGCAAATTGGAAGGCTGAGGTGGAAGAATCCCAGTTTTGAGTCCAGCCTCAGCAATTTGGTGAGAGCCTGCCTCAAAATGAAAAATAAAAAGAACTGTGGATGTAGCTCCGTGGTAGAGTGCCTCTGGGTTCAATCCCTGGTACTGAAAAAAAAAAAAAAAACATGCTTTCATATATACTGTTCATTGCATTAAAAAAAAAAAAAAAAAAAAAGCCCTGTTAAGGTTTATAGTTGAAGAAACTAAGGATCAGATAAGTAAAGTAACTTGACAAGGTCACTTAGATATAAACTGAGGAACCAAGATTATTATAGTCAATAAATGTGAACTGAATGGCTGTAATAGGATGACTATTGAGACAGAAGGATCAATGAGACCAGGTCTCTATGCTAAGAAACTCAAACTCCAGCAGAGAAGAGACAAATATGTATTGTCGACTCTAACACAGAAGAACAAGTTTAGATTTTGAAGGGATACATAAAAGACAAAAATGGTCAATTTGACCCAGTTGGATAAGGAAAATTTTAAGTTGCCTGCTTTGAGAAGGTCATCAACAGGTAGAAAAAAAAAAAGTGGTAGGAAAAATGGAAAGGGTTTTGTAGACAGAGGGAGAGATAAGACTTACGACTGGATGTGGCTCAATAGGAAAAAAGCAATTTGAAATGACTCCCAGATTTCAAACTGGATGACTGGAGGGTGGGTAGGGGGAGACTCATTAAGGTAAGTAAAACAGAAAAAGAACATATTTTGAAAGAAAGATGATGTGTTTGATTTCTGAAATGTCAGATTTGAGATACCTGTGGACTAATCCAGGAGAAAACAACTAAGGTGCACCTGTTTGTTTGGAGATCAGGAAAGACTATCTGGGATAAAGATAAAGTCTGGGGAACTGTGAGCTTTTAGATGGTAGCTGATATCATGTGAATAAATAAGATGAGCCAGAAGGTCATACAAAGTCAAGGAGTCAGGGAGGCCAAAGCAGATGTCCAGAAGCATACTGATGTTAAAGAATGAGCAGGGACTGAGAAGAATGATGAGAGACACAGTAAGAAAGTGCAATCTTACCGGCCATAGAAGAAATGACTTCCTATTTCCTTTTAATTACCAGGGTATTTGAGTCACCATAAGCATTTCCCAGAGGAAAGAAAAGTAGATGAACATGACATATGAAAACAAATGTAACTGGAGAAACACTTCAAACCTTACTTCATCTCTGCTGATCAGTTCATTGGAAAATGTGAGCCCAGGCATGAGACCTCTCTTCTTTAACCAGAATATAGCAGCAAAAGATCCTGAGAAGAAAATTCCTTCCACAGCAGCAAAGGCCACCACTCTTTCCCCTAGGAGAAAAAACAGTTTCGCTTTCTAAATATCACATACTGCAAACATTTGCAAGTTTATATATTTTTTTAATAATACCTCAACTATTTTTCCAAGAAATAAACAAGTTAGTGCAGTGGCCAAAGATCTTCAGAGAAGGAAATATTCTACCCTACCTACTAGGACAGAAAGATATGTCTACTTCAAATCCTATATCAAACAACTCCTGTAGACTTGGTTTCTGGGCAAAGAAAAGACAGAAGGATCAATGAGACCAGGTCTCTATGCTAAGAAACTCAAACTCTACTCAAAAAAATAAGTGATTTGCCTGTAACCTTCAGGTGCTTGTGAATGCAGGCACATGCATGTGAGTACAGTATGTGCACATACTGCTGAGATTTATATTTTTAGCAACCTATATAGCTTACAAACTAGTTATAAAATTTCAAAGACATTGTCATGAATATGCAATTAAAAAATAGACGAACCCAGCTGATGATAATACATATACCTATAAGGTAAAATGTCTTATCACAGCCAGGTGTGGTGGTGCACGCCTGTAATTCTGGTGACTCAGGAGGTTGAGGTGGTGCACGCCTATAATTCCAGTGACTCAGGAGGTTGAGGTAGGACAATCTGAAGTTTGAGGCCAACCTCAGCAACTTAGTGAAGTCCTTAGTAACCTTGCAAGACCCTGTCTCAAAATAAAAAATAAAAAGGGCTGGAGGTGTGGCTCAGTGTTCCCAGGTTCAACAGCTAATACCAAAAACATAAGCAAAAATATCCTATCATCCAAGCAAAAATACTATCCTCTGCTAAATACATAAGGGCCAATTTCAAAAGTTTCTTTCTTTTCAGAAGCCTATTCCTGAAATATATCTAGTGGCATAATCTATAACATCATCTCTAGGAAATGATTATAGACTTAATCCAAAAGATTATACACATGCCCCTTATGTCACCATACTGCATATCTAGGGAGAAAGGTTGTAGATTGTGAGATAAAGGCACTGAGTGCTTGAGGAAACTATAGGCCTTTGTTACTGATGACATAGTTTATATTTCTTATACATGTATCTTTTTTGTGGGGGCTGGGGACACCAGGGACTGAAACCAGGGATGCTTAACCACTGAGTCACATCCCCAGTCCTTTTTACTTTGAGACCGGGTCTCACTAAGTTGCTGAAGCTGGCCTCAAACTTACAATCCTCCTGCCTCAGCCTCCCGAATCACTGGGATTACAATTGTGCACCACCATGCCCAGCTAGTATCTTGTACTTTATATCCCTTGAACTTACTGCAGGAGCAAACACATAGCAGGTACTTAATAAATGTGTCCTCAACCAAACCAATGGAAATTATAGAAGATGTTAAAAAACATTAAAATTCATTCTATAGAAAACACAAAAATTTGATGTAGAAACTGAATAAATATTTTAAATTTCCAGAACAAATATAATTACAATATTTAAATTTTAAAAAGAAAGCTGACTAAATTCAAATGTTTCTGGCTGTCGCTAAATAATGCTCTGGTTTGTCCTTGTTTCTCCCTGATTATCAAACCAAATCAGATAGATCAATTATATCATATACTTGGTAATCCAAATTTCTATTAGTAGTCTAAAACATGGGAAAGACTTATGAAGTATTTCATTTTTACAGACACAATTTTAAAATTAACTTCAGAAAAAAACAAAAGAAATATAAATTAAATAAATATTCACTATGTCAAAGGAATGGTTGATTGGTTGATTGGTTTTTGGCATGGATGAGGATAAAACCCAGGACTTCACACATTCTGGACAGATACTCTACCACTGAGCTATACCCTCAGCCCTCAATTGTGGAAAAGAAGATTCCTTGATGTGTTATATATTAACTAAATATTAAAATGTAATAAAAATAATCACTAAGCTTAAGCAAGACATTCATCATTAGTTTAACATAATTTACTATACTTTTAAGTTCCTATTAATAAAATGACAGGTAGTTATATTTGATACTTTTTAAATTGGCATTAAGGTAACATCATATGGGTAAATATCTATAAGAAAACAAGACTAATAAAAACATTCTGATGGGCGTAGTGGCGCACGCCTGTAATCCCGGCAGCTCAGGAGGCTGACACAGTAGGAACATGGAGTTCAAAGCTAGCCTCAGCAAAAAGCGAGGCGCTTAGCAACTCAGTGAGACCTTGTCTCTAAATAAAATACAAAATTGGGCTGGGGATATGGCTCAGTGGTCGAGTGCCCCAAGTTCAAATACTAATACCCCCCGCCAAAAAAAAAAAAAAAAAAAAAAATTATATATATCATTCTGAACAAGGGGGAAATTGTCATTTTAACCATTCCATGCATTCATATGAATACCAAAGAATGAGAATCATAATAAATAGTTATAGATGACCATTTTTGGAGAAGATTGAAGGATTGTAAAGGGTAAATTTTACAAATTTTCAAGAATATATGTGAAATTAAAAGAGAGTCCCAAAACATTTCTTCTAAAAGGAAATGAATGTTAAAGCCTCATGATTTGTTTTAGAGAGAAGAAAGTGGAATATATTTTTAAGATAGCTGAGCTCTATGATGCAAGACTGTATAACTAGAACTTGAAGTATAAAATATAATTTCATTACATATATTAAGGTTTAATATATCTGTTTTAAAATTTTTATCTCTACTACAATTGAATCTCCTTATAATATATGAACTTAAAACTAACAATTTAAAAAAATTTTTTTTAGTTGTAGATGGACACAATAACTTTATTTATTTATTTTTTATGTGTTTCTGAGGATCAAACCCAGTGCTTCATAGATACTAGGCGAGCAGTACTCTACCACTGAGCCACAACCGCAACCCCTAAAACTAACTAATTATTTTTTAAGGAGTATTTTTAGGTCCTCTTTAGCTAAAATTAATGGATTACAGGAGTCTGGAGATAAGGAAAGAACAGTTGCTACAGTGGGTCCTCACTTGGTATGAAAGTCACCTAGAGCATCCCCCAAAATGTTAGGCAAAGACCTCAGCCAGATGAAAGAGTTGCCTTGTCAACCTAAAGTTACTAATGGTGTAGATGGCACAATTAATTTTAAAAAATGCACTTGTTCTTTCTTTAAAGGAAAGTACAGTATATGGTAAAGCAAAACAATAATTCTGTGTTACTGTCTTTTAGTTCCACTTGCAAAATAGAAAGCTGCCAATGTGCATTTCACTCTTCTCCCTTTCCCTTCTTATTTCACTCCTCCTCCTGCACCATTTTAAAATATATTCTTTCTTCTGAGACCCTAAATCAGAATCCTAAGTGGGATTTTCTTTGAGATTAAACAATATGAAAAAATCTAACTGAAGCCCCTGCTGTGGCTGCAAGATGATTCCATCCTTCTCTGTTTTCTCTATTTCTAGTTTGTCTTTCTTGGGTGGTATCAGAAAACACCAACTTTCTGTAAGTTATTCATCATTTTCTATCAGTATCTATCCATACTAATATTTTCAACGCATATTAAACACCCTGATATTTTCCTGCTTTTTTCTCTGAAGTCAGTATCCCAACCTGTGCTTCTCAAACCACTTGTGAAAAAATCATCTGGATATGAAATGCAGATTCCTCAGTCCCACTTGCACTTCCTGAATTACTCTGTCTAGTGAGAACCAGAATTCTACAGGGTTTTTCTACAAATTTTCCAGATGCTATTAATGCACATCAAGAAGCACTGCTTTTCTCATTCTTACAATGAACTGGAGGCAATGCAAACATATCTGTTTCTTCACCAATATACCACATACTTGCCCATATAAGCATTACATCACTTGTTCTTGAGTGTGGTCCAGGTGTCTCTGGGAGTTCTACAGACACAAGAGATCTATGAGGTGCAAACTAGTGTTACCTGTAAAAAATTGCTTTTGTGCTTGTCTGCTAAATCCTTTGGAATGCTGGTCATACAATGGGACAAAGCAAGCTAATGATGTCACTGCTTCTGTATCCTACCCTACAGAGCCTCCCTCCTGTGGTAATTGGTGTGGAACAGAGAGCACTGTGGACAAGATAAGTGCTTGTCCAGCCGGCCACTACTGGACCAAGTGCCATGAGAAACAGAGGCACTACTTTCTGGCAAAGCACCATGACAATCGGAGATGTAATCTATCCGGCCAGTCACCCCTGGACCTTCCTCAAGCAGTCTTCAATAATCCTTATGCTATCTCACATGCTATCTCCATGCAACTTCTTTAATCTCTTGGCAAACTATCCCACTACCCTAGCACAACTGGGCTGTGGATAGTACATCATCCAAAGCAAATTTGATTACATGTAATTGAGAGTTACATACCAAAAGTAGACTTTCTATCTGCTATCCATCGCAGAGCCCAATCTGCTTTTTTCTTAACATATGGCATTGTTTCAATTGCATTAAATAAAAATTCCCTGTAAGAATAACAGAATTCAGGGAAGTTATTTACTTGTTTCTTAATTGGACTAAAGTTTAATGGTTTAATCAGAGACTAATTGTAACTCTACGATACACTACCAGATATGTAATTTTTCTATACTTTTGCATGTTCATAAAATATAAAAATGAAAGCAAAACTCAAATTAGTGGTTTGAATATGGTCTGATACTAAATCAACTAAATGCAAATATTCAATTTCTAAACAGAATGTGCTAATGAACAGTTTTTTAAGATACTATAAAATATCTAAAGATTAACTAATTCTATATAAGCTTTTTTTTAATCTAACACATTACTGGGCAATAGAAAACACAGTTGTTATAAACTTCTTTGTGTAAACAATCTTTCCTTAACGTTTAGCTTTGTTAATAAATTTTGCAATAAATTTAAGCACTAGGATAAAACTATGCAAATAAAAATCTCAGCAGGAATACCTTTTCTTGGGATCTCTGATGTAAGTATCTATTAGCAAACTGTACATCTCTGAGTGAACATTCTCGATGAGAATCTGAAAACCATAGAAACAGCGAGCCTCTGGAACCTGCACCTCCTGACTAAAGCGCTCCACCTAAAAAATAGGGGAAACAGATCCAGTGCTGTGGTCTCTCACAAAACACTTGGTTAAACATTGCAAATCTGAATCCAGACATCAGAATGATCATTAAAAACTGCCTGCCTGCAATAAACAGGTCAGAAAGAAGTTAAGGGTTAGCTTAAGCAGTATTATTTATTCATCAAATCCTCCACAATAAATTCATTGCATAATATATTCTTATACAATTATATGAATTGTCCTGTTAGGTTGAAATAGTGCCCAAAGAACAAATAAACTTTAGAACATCTACCAAAACTAATAATTTTCCTTTGTGGAATTTATTTCCAACAGTAAAGAGATCTGTTAAAGGATCTTCTATTCTATGATGGAAAGTTATATCTCTATTCGCTATTCTTTCTCTCTCCCTCTCTCTCTTTCTAAATTTTGAGGTAGGGTCTCCCTAAATTGTCCAGACTGCCTTCAATCTTAAGTTCCTCCTGCCTCACCTCCCAAGTAGCTGGGATTACATGCGTGTGCCACTGGGCCTGGCTCTATTCTGTTTAACAAGAAATTCTGCCTCCAGAATCAATATAATACAAAATTTTTAAAAGAGAAGCCAGAACCCGGTGTTTTATACAAAGCTCAATATGATTATTAAGGTAGAGATTCTTTTGTTATTGTTTTTAGATATACATGAGAGTAGAGTATATTTTCACATGTTATACATATACGGAGTACAATTTATTCTTATTAGGATCCCATTTAAGTAGAGAATCTCTATTAGATTTATTATCTGAGGATAAAAAATAAACCTAAAGTTTAAGCAGGTTTTAGTTGGCACATTTTACGCTTCATTTCCTGATATTTAGCTGATTGGATAGCAGAAATCTATCCTTTCCTCTGCACTTTATCAGAAAACACTTTCAAGAATCAAGCTTCATCTATTCAATTACTTAGGCATCTTTTCTCAGGCTCAATCTAATGATCTTACTTATAGTATCATCATTTAATGGCTAAATAGCACAAAAGTAAAATAAAAAAAATCTTACCAAATTTTCATTTACAATTCCATCACTGGCTGCAAAAAAGGCTAAGATGTGAGAGATAAAATACTTCTCATCTGATTTAAGCTTGTTCCAGTGAGGGAGATCCTTTGATAAGTCAACCTACAATAAAAATTTTTTTCAAAAATTTTAACAGTTACTGTTTAGAAAACTAATTTCCACTCTAACATTAAGAAAGGATATAACAACAAGCAGTAAACTGTGAAAAAGAAAAAATGTTAACATCACAAAGAGACTAAAAAAACCCATTCTGTTAATAATAGGGTATTTTATCCAGGACATCTGCTAAACAAGTAAATTTTAGCTATTCTTGGGACAAAGGGAAAGATGGGCAACTGTGTGACATAATAGATATGTTAATTATCTTATAGCAATCATTTTACTATAGATATAACATATTTAAGGTTTCTAAGATATATATATATATATATATGTATATTATATGCCAGATATATCTAGTATATTTAAGATTTATCTACAATTTAAGTAAAAGATAACAAAACAGTATGATAGAATGATTTTCTGGCTAAATGAGAAGCTAGTTAAGATGTACTTTCAAAATGTTACAATTATCAGATTGGCACTGGAAAAAATGAAGAGACAAAGAGGAATGGTAGAATAAAACTAGTCAAGAAAGAATTGAGGTGAATAAACAATGACTTTCAGCAGCCATTGTTTTAACATTTTACATGATATTTACTATGTTGTTACACAAATAATAAAGTAACTGTTAACCAACTGTATCTTCTACTTTATCATCAACTAACCTACTCTACCCATAAGTAACGTCAGGCAGGAAATGTTCTGGGTTTTGAGGCAGTTTATAGGTTTGCCTTCCTCAGGGAATAGAAATATTTTTTAAAACATTTATCAGAATTAGTGCTTGGTATTAAGAGAGATGCACTATAGAATTCGGCAAAAATTTACCATTTTAAAATAACCTTTACACCTCTAGCTGCTATAACAAATAGACTGGGTGGATTAACCAACAACAAGATTACTTTTCACAGTTCTGGATGCTAGAAAGCCAAGCTCAGGGTGCCAGCCTGCTTAGTTTCTTAGTGAAGGCCCACTTCCTCATTTACAGATGGCCACCTTCTTGCCATATCCTCACAGAGCAAAGAGAGATCATCTTTCTCATACTTCAACTCTCTCATATTTCTTCTTCTAAGGGCATGAATTCCCTTCATAAATGCACAGACCTTATTATCTAATTACCTCCCATGGCCCCCACCAACACTATCACACTAGGGATTAGGAGTTCAACCTATAAACTGGGGTGGTGCAGCATTCAGTTCATAGCTTTTCTGGATATTTTGTATTAGAAAAATATCTTAAGTATGTTTCACAATAACTTCATAAACATTTGAAATATGTGCTGGGCACAGTAATACATGCCTATCCCAGCAGCTTGGAGGCTGAGGCAGAAGGATCACAAGTTTGGGGTCAGCTTCAGTAACTTTCTGAGGCCCTAAGCAATTTAGCAAGACCCTGTCTCAAAATAAAAAATAAAATGGGCTGGGGATGTGGCTCAGTGGTAAAACATCCCTGGGTTAAATCCCCAGTATTAGGAGAAAAAAAATGAAATGAAAAAAATTCGTAACTGACCTTGTAAGATGTGATTATATTGTTTTTGTCCTTATTTTACCTATTCTTAAAAAAAGCCCCAATGTCTTTGACCTTTCCCCCCAAAAAAGAGTAATATCCATAATTTTCACTTTTTGTTTTCTTTCCTAAACCCCTATTTTTTAGATGTTTGCTGAGAACTTACTATATGCCCAATATTATGCTAAGCGTTGAGGATACGATGGGATGGAGAGGGTGTAATATTTGTCTTCATCTTGTAAAATAAATACACTAGAAATCAAGTTGTGTTCTACTAAGGGCTCAACTTAGGCTTCACAAAGGACATCTTCCTGATACTGAGTTTTAATATTAAAATATGTTTGTTCTTAAATATTAAACTTATCTCTTTAAACATATAAATTTTACTTATACATTGGTCATATTCCCTTCCAGAAACATAAACCTTCCTTCCTAGTTTTATCTCTCTTGAGCAAATTCTCACTTCCATCATCTAAAAATGGACTCCAAACTAGCTGCCATAGTATGGATCCTCAATGTTTCCTGAGGTCCATGTGTCAAAAGCACAGTCATCAACTGTGGCGCTACCAGAAGTGGTAGACCCAGTAGGAAGTGGGACTTAGTGGAAGGAAATTAGGTTGCTAAGGGCTTGCCCTTGAAGGGAATATTGGGACCCCTGGTTACTTCCTCTTTCTTCACTTCCCAGCCACTATGTGGTGACCAGGTGGCCTCTACCATGCACACTGGACATGATGTACTGTGCTGTCACAGGTCCAAAGCAACAAGGCAAAGCAATCATAAACTGAAATCTCTGAAACTGTGAGCCAAAAATCAATCTTTCCCTTTATAAGTTGATTTTCTCAGGAATCTTGTCACAGCAACAGAAAGTTAACATACTAGCTGATTATCAAAATTGCCCAAGTGACTTATTTAAAAAAAAATCCCAAGGCCCTGACCTTTTGCCTTCCAAAGTGGGGGTTTAATATTGAGAAGTTAAGTTCAACCACTGATTTTTTTTAAAAAAAGTAGAGTCCAAAGTTGATTAAATGATAATGTACATAATTTGGTTAAATGAAAAATATGTGGAACTAAGAATGTGTTTGACTTCCCTTCATAACAAGCACTTGAATCTTCCTACAAAATCAATATCAACCTGCATATTTTAGTTTTTAAAAATTAGTGTTTCTTAGTCATAGAACACTTACTACATTTGCTAAAAACAAATATGGTTCCCAAATGAATTTCAAGAAAACCCAGTATCACAAGTACCTTTTTAATGTGAAAAATCCCAGCTGTATACTTCACTTGTTCTCTGAACCAAGTCTAACAAAAACTTTCTAAAAACCACAGACAGTTAGGGAGAGTCAGGTGTGCCAAGCATTATGACCCAGTATTAAAATACTGAATGTGGCCAGGTGCAGTGGCCTACGTCCGCAATCCCAGCAACTCAGGAGCCTGAGGCAAAAGGATGGCAAGTTCAAAGCCAGCCTCAGCAAAAAACGAGGTGCTAAGCAACTCAGTGAGATGCTGTCTCTAAAGAAAATACAAAATAGGGCTGGGGATGTGGCTCAGCAGTGGAGTGCCCCTGAATTCAATCCCTGGTAGCCCCCTAGCCCCCTAAAAATACTAGATGTTTTGTTTGCTTTTTTGCTCTATATGTCAACTACAGTATAATAAAGATGTTGACAATATAAGAAGGGAAAGTGAGTAAAATTGGTTTAAGAGAAATTTCAGACACTTGTGCCTTTCTGATTTCTAGGTTAAATCATACCCATTCTAGGCATAAAATAAAGCATTTATTTAATGCTTACTGTCAGGTACCTTTCTTAACTTCTCATTAGTCCTAATGGGCTAACAACCTAATAGGCCAAGTACTATTAGCCTCATTTATCTATGACAATACACAAAGAGGGTAAAGCAACTTTCCTAGTTCTACAACTAATAAGCAAAAGAGCAGGATTTGTACTTAGGCAGCCAGGCCCTAGAATCTGCATTTTTTACAGGGTATGTTTATATGTATAGAATAAATCTCTTGAAAAACAGACCAATCCAAATGTATCTATCCAAATAGATACATCTATCTATAGAAATAGAGACATTACTTATGTGTATGTACGAGCAAGATGAAGGTCATATCTATTTGTGTGTTCAACTAGACTACAAAGCAGTCATTTGCATGACCACCTGTCCTTACCAAACCAGCAAGTATTATCTAATTTGCTGTGTTCAACTCATTTCCTTGGTGGAAAAAATCACAATAACAGACAACATTCTACATCTATCCTGTTAGGGGGAACTGTATCAGGTTTTTGTTTGTTTCGTGGTGCTAGGGATCCAACCCAGAGTCTTCTGCACACTAAGCCAAGTGCTCTACCTCTTGGCCACATCCTCAGCCCTTGAATCAAGTTTGATGCTGCTGAGGCAGAATGGAAGAACTGTGAAGTCAGCCTGGTTAGCTCCTTTTGTACAGTCAGTTAAGCAATTCACATAATTTGTTTAAATGAAATCAGGGTCCTTAAAGCTTTCAGTCTATTTTTCTTTTTCTTTCTTTCTTTTTTTTTTTTTTTTACCATAGTTACAACTTTGCTTATTTTGCTGAGCACAAGTAAAGACTAATCTATGTGGCCATAGCAAACCAAAAGTATGTTTAAAAGTAGAAAATGTCCTAAAATATATTAGTGTAAAAATCTATAGCTGGCACAGTGGCACATGCTTGTAATCACAGCTACTTGGGAAGTTGAAGCAGGAGGATAGCAAGTTCAGAGTCAGCCTTGGCAACTTAGTGAGATCCTGTCTCAAAATGAAAAATAAAAAGGACTGGGGATATGGCTCAATGGTAAAGCTTCCTTGGATTTAACCCCCAGTATCCCAAAACAAAACAAAGCACCAGGCAGAACAAGATGCATTTTTTTTTTTTTTGCAGCAGATAATTTGTTTATAGAAAGTGATCTAAACTAAAATATTGGAGAACACTATGTTTAGTCTCAAAAATTCTTAACCTCATCTTATACAATTGGTCTTAATAAAAGTTAAAATGTTTCAACACACCATAACACAGGAAGTCAACACTGCATTATAGGCCATGAATGTTAATAAGATGATGCCACATACCTCTTCTGCTGTCCAGAAGGATGCCTGTGCCTGTTTATACATTTTCCAAATATCAGGGTACTGGATTGGAAAAATGACAAATCGGCGAGAACTCTTTCTTAGGAGTGGCTCTTCATTAGCTTTCACTTCCTTTTCGTTGGTATCTGAAGATAACCTCTTTGAAAAACAAAGTACAAACACCCGAGGTATGAAGATATTTCCTCTTATTCATAAGAAAACATACATCTGGGGAAGTTGGGAGACAACATGGGTTTGGGAGCCAGTCTACCTGGGTTGAATCCTTACTATTATACTGCAGTTGGCTAATAGAGTTTGGCTAGTTGCATGACTGTAGGAAGCTGACGAAGCTCTCTGAGCCTCAGCTTGTGCAGCTGTAACATAATGTCTTCCTCACAGATTTATTCTAATGATTAAAAGTGCTTAAACATCAGTCATGAAATCCACTTGGAAAAACAAGAGGCCCAGAATAGCCAAAGCAATCCTTAGAGAGAAATATGAAGCAAAAGTCATCACAATATCAGACCTTAAATTATACTAGAGCTATATAGTAATAAAAATAGCATGGTATTGGCACAAAAACAGACATGATGACCAATGGAACAGAATAGAAGACACAGAGACAAACCCACATAAATACAGTTATCTCTTACTGAACAAAGGTGCCAAAAACATACACTGGAGAAAAGAGCCTCTTCAACAAATGGCAATGGGAAAACTGAAAAGTCACATGTAGTAGAGTGAAACAGAACCCCGATTTCTCACCCTGCACAAAACTCAACTTAAAGAGGAGCAAGGACCTAGGCATCAGACCAGAGACCCTGCATTAGAAGAAAATGAAGGCCTAATTCTCCAACATGTCGGCTTAGGAAACCAACTTCCTCAATAAGACTCCTAAAGTACAAGAAGTAAAATCAAGAAACAGTAAATAGGATGGACTCAAAATAAAAAGCTTCTTCTCAGCAAAGGAGGCAATCAATAACTCTAAGAGAGAGCCTATAGAATGGGAGGAAATCTTTACTACGTGCACCTCAGATAGAGCACTAATCTCCAGGATATATAAAGAACTCAAAAAACTTAACATCAAAAAACCCCAAATCATCCAACCAATAAAAGGGCTAAGGAACTGAACAGACACTTCACAGAAGAAAAAATACAACTGATCAACAAACATATGAAAAAAATGTTCATCATCTCTAGCAATTAGAGAAATGCAAATCAAAACTAAGATTTCATCTTACTCCAGTCAAAATGGCAATTATCAAGAATACAAGCAACAATAAGTGTTGGCAAGAATGTGGGGGGAAAAGGTACACTTATACATTGCAGGGTGGGGCTGCAAATTGGTGCAACCAATCTGCAAAGCAGTATGGAGATTCCTCAGAAAACTTGGAATGGAACCACCATTTGACCCAGCTATTCCACGCCTCAGCATATACCCAAAGGACTTAAAATCAGCATATTACAGTGACAAAGCCACATCAATGTTTATAGCAGCTCAATTCACAACAGCTAAGCTATGGAACTAGATTCTCTTCAACAGATGAATGGATAAATAAAATGTGGTATATATACACAATGGAATGTTATACAACCTTAAAGAAGAATGAAATAATGGCATTTGCTGGTAAGTGGATGGGTCTAGAGAATATCATGCTAAGCAAAATAAGCCAATCCCAAAGAAGCAAAGGCTGAATGTTTTTCTAATATGCAGATGCTAATTCACAATAAGGGGGTGGGGCTAGAGAAGAGTAGAGATACTTTGGATTAGACAGAGGGAGATGAAGGGAGAGAGGAGTATGGGGGTAGAAAGGATAGTAGAATGAATCAGACATTATTACCCTATGTGCATATATGATTGCATGACTGGTGTAATTCTAAATCACATACAACCAGAAGAATGAGAATTTATACTCCATTTATGTATGATATGTCAAAATGCATTCTACTGTCATGTATAATTAATTAGAACAAATTTTTTAAAATACTTAAACATGCATAATAGGCACTCAAAATTTTTTGTAGTGATTGTTACTTAGACAGTAAGTATAAAGCAAGGTCCATAAATGCCATAGTGGGAAAATTTCTATTTGCAGACAAAATGTCTCTTCAGTACCACTCTGATATAGAATGATGCCATGAATAGGCCACTATTATAAACCATTTTTTCATTTTAATGTTTTTTCTACTCTTAAATGAAATACTTATTATATTTATCTGAAAACTCCTTACCAACAATTTATCGGCCTTTCTTCCTTTTAGCCATCCCATATACCAACCTATTATTCCTATTTGCATTTTCAGATTATTCTTTATAGTACAAAATTATTTTCACTTACAAGGGCATTCATGTTCTCAGCCAAATTACTTAACCTGAATATTGTTATTTGCAAATTAAAGATAATATTTGCTAAGCTTATTTCAAATAACTGTTAGAAAGTTTAGAGGAGTTAATATAAATAAAAGTACTTTGGCTGAGAGTGGTGGTGCATGTAGTCCTTAGTCCTAGCTATTTGAGAAGCTGAGACAGGAAAATGACATGGTCAAGGGCAACTTCAACAACTGAGCAAGACCCTGTCTCAAAATAAAAGATAAAAAGGGTTGGGGTTGTGGCTCAGTGGTGAAGCATGCAGGGTCCAATCCCTAGCACTGCACATAAATAAATAAAAGTACTTTGCACATTCTCAAGTGCTGTCAACTCTAAAAATTATTATATTATTGACTATCAAGACATTGTTGATTGACCTTTTAAAGGTTGTCCCTATATTTAAAAAATTATTATAATGGCCAGGTATTTGATGAATCAATATCTTCTGTAACTTCCTTAAAGGAATTTTCACTCATGAAATAGAGAATGGCTGGAGAGGCTTAAAAAGTGAGGTACTTGGGCTGGGGATATAGTGCAGTTGGTAGAGTGCTTGCGCCGCATGCACAAAACCCTGGGTTCAAACACCAACACTACAAAAAAAGAAAAAGTGAGGTACTCAAATATAACTGAGATTAGCTAGAACTGAGGCCCAATTGAAAAGGCAAAGATTTACACTCAATAGGTGTTTTCAACCTGTTTTGATCTACATTGCCCTTCCTTTAGTTCCTCTAGATTATGCTTTTATTATCATGTTGGAATATTTTGATACTATTCTGCAGTCTTCTTTTTGCTATGTATTTTATTCCAGAGGTACAGAAGTCTATTCAGGGTTGGACATCTCTATCTACTCCATTTGCTACAGGGTGCACATACTTAAAGTTGGGAAGGAAACCACAAGCAGTAACACTTTGGCACAGTGGATTAATCTCTTGATGACTAATCCTGAATGGAATTTTTACACACTGATACATAACTGATCAGTGTCAGGATTTATGAAACTGCTGAGTATACCTTTATATTGAAATGAAAGCCACATTTGCATATATGTTATTCCATTCTATCCTCATAAAATGTGGATTAAGAAAAGCTAAATTAGGAGAGTAATATAAGATTTTGCAATGTGAAGAGAGGATATGTAACATTTGATATGCACTAGAGATGACATAATGCTTACTTCACGGTGTATATTTAATACAATTCAAGAGGTTCATGCAGGGTTATCCAGGGTACCCTCTGTGGACCTATGCTAAGAATTCATATTTCAGAAGAACTTGTTTTTAACAACTCACCTTTATTGAGTTTTCCAAAGCCTTCAATTAAAGTTTTCATAGAAAGAGCTTTCTTTTCATACTCATACTTTATTAGTTCACATATTATTTAATTAAATTGCAATAATTATAATACAAGTGTAATTGATATAAATAGAATTAGAATTAAAGAAAACTGATCCTGGTAAGTTATAACTCAAACACTGAAAACAGAATTACATGAGTATATGAGAGAGTAGCTTACTCCTGGCCATATGCATTCTAAAGCTCATGAGTATCTGTTTATTTTACAGGGTTGACTAATCAACAGAATTGTTTAACAGCTAGTTGATTAAGAGAACTTCTGATAAATATATAAAGACACTGCTTGTTAAGTTTGATATAAATCTCCAAATTTTATCTATACCCCAATTCAAATGGTGGGTTCATCAAAAGCCTCATAATTCCATTGACTGACGTTACAATCTTATAAATATTAACTTAAATAAAATTATACTAAAAGACAAAAGGATTTCATCAATTGGTTACACTTATGATTTTGTTTGGGAAAGGGTTCAGGTGTTAAAGTTCATGGAAATGTAAATATTATGGTTTGGATCTGGAATGTCCCCCAAGGCTCATGTGTTGACAGTATGGTTCTCAATGCAGTAATGTTCAGAGGTGGGGCTTTTAAGTAATGATTACGTCATGAAGGCTTGGACCTGCTCAGTGGATTAAATCTCCTGATGATTAAATGTACTTCTAGAAGGTAGAGTACAGTTGAAGGCAGTAAATCACTAGGGGCAAGGTTCAGAGGTGGGGCTTTGGCTTGGACCTGCTCAGTGGATTAATCTCTGGATGACTAAATGCACTACTAGAAGGTAGAGTACAGTTGAAGGCAGTAAATCACTAGGGGCATGGCCTTTGGGATTATATCTGTCCCTGCCCCACTTCTTTGCTTCCCAGCTGCCATGAGCTAAGCAACTTTCTTCCGCCATGCCCTTCCACCATGAGACTTCTGCAATCGTGGACCATGGACCAAGACCTCTGAAACTATGAGCTAAAAATAAATCTTTCCTCCTCTAAATTGTTCTTGTCAGGTATTTTAATCACAGCAATGAAAAACTAACACAATAAATATATATTGATTTTTCCATAGCCATTTTCCTATAAGCAATTTTCTTTCTTTTTTCCTTTTTTCTTTTTTTTGGTAACGAGCATTGAATCCAGGGTGCTTAACTACTGAGTCACATTCTCAGCCCTTTTTATTTTTTATTATGAGACAGGGTCTCACTAAGTTGCTGAGGATGACTTGGAGCTTGCAATCCTCATGCCTCAGCCTCCAGAGCCATGGGGATTATAGGCGTGCACTCAGCTTCTTCTAATCACTTTGATATAACTATTTTCATACTTTATCTCAGTGTCATCATTTTGATAAAACAAACAAAAACTTAAATGATTTTACAATATGTACTCTAACTCTAAATGTGATCTGAGTTTAGGCTGGATATGTCTATTTTGCATTTTCATTTAATGAAAATTAA